AATCATACTCTCAAAATTTAATAATACTTTAAATATTTATAACTAAATAATATGGTCAAAACTTTAATGGTACAACTACCAATATATATATATATATATATATATCCATGAAAAATAGACTTTTAGTTACAATAATTATTTTAAAACCTCCAGTCACCCAATAAATAAAACTAAACCGATTAAAATCTCAATAATATATCAAACAATCCAAATAAATTACTTAACTTGAATTTAATCGGTAAAAATATAATATAAATCATATTTAACAGATTTTTCAACTAGAAAAATTAATTTAAATACTAAAAACCAACAAATGGACAAATCTAACCGATTAAAATCAACAACTCATTCACTTCTAAATTTCTATAATCGTCTTTTGTTAAAACTCAATACTTAGATCATATATAAGTCTCAAAATTTTCTCCAATCACTATAATAATAACGTAAATAGGAAGCTCAAAATATATAGGAAATATTCATAAAGAAAGTTTGATAAAAAGAAGTAATTTTATATACCTAAAATATCTTCAAAACTCGTTCTTTCCTTCACCGGTATGCTCCTGTCGCCCTTGCACGCACACACTAAACTCTCTTTTCTTCTTTCTCTCCTGCGTAACGCGCACTCTCATTTTTAGCCTCCCTCTCTCTCTTTTATCCTTCATTCCCCCAACTACCTTTCATTTTTTTCTTCGCTCATTAATGCCTCTCCCCCATTTTCTTCCTTTCCTTTTCAACGCTCAGCTTTCTGCCGAAATTATTTACCTTAATAAAACAGATTTTCAACAATTTCCAAATATAAAATTATTATGTTATACATTCTAAAAACTCTCTTTTTCAGTTTAAAACTCAAAATCATACTCTCAAAAATTAAATAATACTTTAAATATTTATAACTAAATAATATGGTCAAAACTTTAATGGTACAACTACCATATATATATATATATATTTCCATAAAAAATAGACTTTTTAGTTACAATAATTATTTTAAAACCTCCAGTCACCCAATAAATAAAAAACTAAACCGATTAAAATCTCAATAATATATCAAACAATCCAAATAAATTACTTAACTTGAATTTAATCGGTAAAAATATATATAAATCATATATAACAGATTTTTCAACTAGAAAAATTAATTTAAATACTAAAAACCAACAAATGGACAAATCTAACAATTAAAATTAACAACTCATTCACTCTAAATTTCTATAGTCGTCTTTTGATAAAACTCAATACTTAGATCATATATAAGTCTCAAAATTTTCTCCAATCACTGTAATATAACGTAAATAGGAAGCTCAAAATATATAGGAAATATTCAAAAGAAAGTTTGATAAAAAGAAGTAATTTTATATACCTAAAATATCTTCAAACTCGTTCTTTCCTTCACCGGTATGCTCCTGTCGCCTTGCACCCACACACTAAACTCTCTTTTCTTCTTTCTCACCGCGTAATGCGCACTCTCATTTTAGCCTCCCTCTCTCTCTTTATCCTTCATTCCCCAACTAACCTTTCATTTTTTTCTTCCCTCATAATGCCTCTCCCCCATTTTTTCCTTTCCTTTTCAATGCTCAGCTTTCTGCCGAAATTATTTACCTTAATAAAACGGATTTTCAACAATTTCCAAATATAAAATTATTATGTTATAAATTCTAAAAACTCTCTTTTTCAGTTTAAAACTCAAATCATACTCTCAAAATTTAATAATACTTTAAATATTTATAACTAAATAATATAGCCAAAACTTTAATGGTACAACTACCATATATATATATTTCCATAAATAATAGACTTTTTAGCTGCAATAATTATTTTAAAACCTCCAGTCACCCAATAAATAAAACTAAACCGATTAAAATCTCAATAATATATCAAACAATCCAAATAAATTACTTAACTTGAATTTAATCGGTAAAAAATAATATAAATCATATATAACAGATTTTCAACTAGAAAAATTAATTTAAATACGAAAAACCAACAAATGGACAAATCTAACCGATTAAAATTAACAACTCATTCACTTCTAAATTTCTATAGTCGTCTTTTGTTAAAACTCAATACTTAGATCATATATAAGTCTCAAAATTTTCTCCAATCACTATAATAATAATGTAAATAGGAAGCTCAAAATATATAGGAAATATTCATAAAGAAAGTTTGATAAAAAGAAGTAATTTTATATACCTAAAATATCTTCAAAACTCGTTTTTTCCTTCACCGGTATGCTCCTGTCGCCCTTGCACGCACACACTAAACTCTCTTTTCTTCTTTCTCTCCTGCGTAATGCGCACTCCTCATTTTTAGCCTCCCTCTCTCTCTTTTATCCTTCATTCCCCCAACTACCCTTTATTTTTTTCTTCCCTCATTAATGCCTCTCCCCCATTTTCTTCATTTCCTTTTTTAGCGCTCAGCTTTCTGCCGAAATTATTTACCTTATAAAACGGATTTCAACAATTTTCAAATATAAAATTATTATGTTATAAATTCTAAAATCTCTGTTTCAGTTTAAAACTCAAAATCATATTCTCAAAAATTTAATAATACTTTAAATATTTATAACTAAATAATATGGTCAAATTTTAATGGTACAACTATCTATATATATATTTCCATAAATAATAGACTTTTTAGTTACAATAATTATTTTAAAACCTCCAGTCACCCAATAATAAAAACTAACCCGATTAAAATCTCAATAATATATCAAACAATCCAAATAAATTACTTAACTTGAATTTAATCGGTTAAAAATATAATATAAATCATATATAACATATTTTTCAACTAGAAAAATTAATTTAAATACTAAAAATCAACAAATGGACAAATCTAACCGATTAAAATTAACAACTCATTTACTTCTAAATTTCTATAGTCGTCTTTTGTTAAAACTCAATACTTAGATCATATATAAGTCTCAAAATTTTCTCCAATCACTATAATAATAACGTAAATAGGAAGCTCAAAATATATAGGAAATATTCATAAAGAAAGTTTGATAAAAAGAAGTAATTTTATATACCTAAAATATCTTCAAAACTCGTTCTTTCCTTTACGGTATGCTCCTGTCGCCCTTGCACGCACACACTAAACTCTCTTTCTTCTTTCTCTCCTGCGTAATGCGCACTCTCATTTTATCCTCCCTCCCTCTCTCTTTTATCCTTCATTTCCCCAACTACCTTTCATTTTTTTCTTCCCTCATTAATGCCTCTCCCCCATTTTCTTCTTCCCTTTTCAACGCTCACCTTTCTTTTTTTTTTTATAATATATAATAAAATATTATTATTTTATTATAATAATAAAATATATTTTTTGAATTTTTTAAATAAAATATTATTATATATATTTTTATATAAATCCTAAAAATTAATTTAGGATATTACATTAGGTAAGTTAGTAATTATAAAAAATGTGGCACGTTTTTCAAAAATATCATAATCATCTTTCTTAATACCTCCTCTTCTCCTACTTAATTATGATTAAGGGAGTATCCATAGGGGTAATTTAGAGAAAATTGATAAATATGATAAATGAGTCTTATATTTACGACCAAAACTAACTCAACAATTGGATCCTATATTAAGAACCGGAGGAGTATTACACATGTGATGATTTTTTTAATATGGGGAAGATACTCGATCTGTGTTAGAGATTTAATTTAGTTCTAAATATAAAATTTTTATTTACTTTGTTTTTCATATTTATTTATTTTACCCCTTGAGTAATACCTATAAATATAACGATTGCACATGTTAAAAAGTTTTTATGAATGTAATTTCAATGCGCATAATGACATAATTGATAAGGATATTTTAGGGAAAAAAAAATCTGTGTAGTACAAATAATTAACTTACTTTTTTTTTGTGATAACTTTGCCTAATTTTTTTAATATCTACAGATTAGATACCTAACCCTTATGTTAAGCACCAGGTGTGTAGTATTTTTCTTTTTTTTACGTACATTATTTGTGCATTTATTCACGAGATTTCACAATTTTTTTCAAATTTTTCATTTACTGTGTTGTGATTTTTAGCAGCACTAAAAGACAAAAGTCCCCCCTAATTGCATAAAAAATAAACTTTTTTTATTATTTCCTGCAGATGAAAATGACCTGCCGGGGAAAGGAATGAATGACCCAATGTGCATAGAGAGGTAGCATCTTTCTCTAACAAGTTCAATATATTCTAATCATGTAGTGTGATTTTTGTTTTGGTTGAATACATGAAGTTTGACTTTTTCCGATTTGAGCTATGAAATTTCAAACAAATAATTTTTATTCCTAAAATTTGATCTAAACATTTTCTGTCCCTAGGATAGTATTTTCTGTCTTTAAAACAATATTTCAATGATTAAAATTATTAGTTTCGAATTTTAAGAATTAAAGATAGAATTAACTCAACATCAAGTAATAAAATGTTTCTGTGGGGATATGCACACATATGGACATAGACAAATAAGGCACGGTGGTTTAAATATAGTCGCCACCGAAAGTTTGAAACAAGTGAGGAGGAATGGGGTGGATCAGATGTATCGAGTTTCAATTACCTTATTTTGTGTGGTCCAAAAAGTAAATATTAATATATCTATTTATTTATTTACTTACATCTTCATGTGTCAACATTGACGGGCTGATCAATGTGATCGGACGATTGGGCCCACCTGAGATTCTTCAAAGTTCAGAGTCTTGTAAGTGGACTCCTCCGGCTCCCAAGCTGGTTGGAATTTTCAATTCTCGAGCATGCCCTGCCTCTGTCTCAATCATTGTTTTTATTTTATTTTGGAAGAATTGTTATGAAATCTTGCAACAACAAAAAATTATTATTGATGCAACAAAGAAAATTATTATGAGGATTAGGTTTTTTCTTGTAAAATAAGGATTTTAAAAGCACCAGCTTTTAAAATCCTTATTTGGCCATAGTAAGGATTTAGGATTTTGAAAATTAGTATAATTTTTTTTTGATATTTGGAAATTAGAAATTCAAATATCTTTTTAGTAGAAAATTTCCCTTTCCTTTAAATGAAACTACAACCTTTGTCGCTTGAATAATCGAGTGACATAAAAACACATCATTTTACAGTGAGCTTGACTTTTTTGCATTTGCATAAAATTCTAGTACATTTTCTAGAAGTCGCAGTGTTCATTACTTGTCAAAAAAAACAACTTCTTTTGTTGGCCCAAAAAAAAAAAACAACTTCTTTCCTATGATTTTAAACGCATTATTGATTTGATACCCATAAGACGCCTTCATCCAATTCAACTTAATTGGATTTGGCCATTACCGTTAGCCTTGTGGTTACCGTTGACTCCTTCATCAGCGCTGGAATTTTTCCTGAATTTACCAAAAGACCCTTCCATTTCTTCAAGGGTCTTCCCTGTGTTTCCGGGAGCATCATATAGAAGAAGATCCATCCAATGGTTGCGATTCCCCCAAACAGAAAGAAGGCCCCGCCTATAGTAACGGCCTTCTCTAAGGACAAAAAGGTCATTGAGATCACCCCGCTCGTGACCCGATTCACCACCACTCCCGCAGCCGCACCCTGAGCGCGTAGCTTCAACGGAAATATCTCAGAGCTATAAACCCACGTGATGGGACCCGCACCAATAGAAAACGTAGCGACGTACGACAAAACTGTTGCTATGCTTAACACGACGGCCCACATTAACTTGGTCTTCGAATGATCAATGATCGTGAGGCTCACAGCCAGGGTGAGGAGCGACAGTATCATGCCCCCCACACTGCTCAACAATAACGGGCGTCGCCCGACCCGATCCAACATAAACGTAGCCACCAGGATGAAAATGGTCTTCACGAATCCGACGGCAACGGTGGCGAGAAGCTTATCGGTGTCGGAAGTGATGCCGGCCTTTCCGAAGATGGTTGGGCTGTACAAAACGACGGCGTCGACGCCGGAGGCTTGCTGAAAGAAATGAATTCCGAGGGCGGCGATCACGATGTGACGGACAGCCGGAGTTGGGTGGAGGAAAAGTTCTTTCCAAACTCCTTCGCCGATATTTTTCTTGGCGTTCACCTGAAAGACGTCGTCGTTGCAGCTTTCGGGGATGCCGGCGGCTTCCTTGATGTCGGCTAGCCTGAGCCGAGCCTCTTCCTTGGAGTTTGAGGTCTTTTCCAGAACTCGTTTGGCGTCGCCGAGCCGACCACGCATGACGAGCCAGCGAGGCGACTCGGGCATGGCTAAGACCCCGATGGCTAAGAGCACCGACGGAATGGCGCCGACTCCCAACATGACCCGCCAGCCCAAGCGAAGTGGCAGCTTCGAAAATGCGTAGTTTGAAATGTATCCAAGTAATATTCCGCCATTGATGAAGACCTGAGTGTAGTAAAGCCAAGGACATGTCAGGTCGACGGGGAGTGGCACTTAGGAAGTGACTCGTAAGAGCATGAATAACCGATATTAATTATTAACTACAATATGAGTTGTTTTCACACAGGAACAATTTCCAAAGGAAAAATGGCAAAATAACACCCGTCAAAATAAAAAAAATTATAAATTGAGACCCATGACAATATTAGTATGTATATTTGATAATAATTTTTATGAACAGATTCTTATATGCAATTTTTCTATTTCAATAGTCTTTTTTTTGTGATTTTCCTATTTTTAAATGTTTATATTTATTTTTGTTTTCTAAAATCAGTAAGAACTTGTCTTTTATGATAATAAAATATATGAAAGATAAAAATGATAGTCATTAGTCCAAATGATTCAAGATGTGCCTTTTTTTTTTAAGCAAGATCTTGTTTTTTCTTGTGTGAGAAAAAATTGTCAATGGCAAAGTTTTTATATAATGGTTTCAGTGATCTAAATTAGTTAGCATCTAACAGTTTGATTTTTAACAAGTGGTTAGTATTACAAAATATGTAAGAGTTTGAAAATATGTCTCATGCATTAAGAACCTTAAAAATGAAATAAAAAAAATGTGGTAGGATAAGTGTCTCAATAAACAAGTTACTTGTGCACGAGCATATGTCTTAAAACATGCATATAACTTGTAAAAATGTGAACTTTGAGATTGGATGAGATTTAGAGAGAGAAAGAGACTTCAGGGAAGGAAGTGAGGAAGCCACGAGAGGAAGCCGGCGAGACCTCGGCGGTGTAGACGGGAGCGATCATGAGGGCGTAACCGATGCCAACGCCGGCGACGAAGCGACCGCACATGAGGAAGGTGTAGTTAGTAGAGAATCCCATGAGAATGGCTCCGGCGAAGAAGATCCCCCCGGCGAGCACAATGGTGTATCGGCGGCCAATCCAGTCGGAGGTTCTTCCGGCGAGACAAGAGCCTATAAGAGAGTAGAGATTGATAATCCCCATCAAGATCTCGATCTGGACGTCCGACACCTTGAGGTCCCTCTGTATATATATCGCCGCCCCACTCATCACCCCTATATCTGCAACCACGAAATTAAACGTCGTCCAAACCACACAGTATCATAATATGGCCGTGATTGTTACGTCTATAATGAACGTATAATCGTGTAGAAGACTGTGCACATGTGTGTGTGTGTGTGTAGATTAGAGCCAAATTGAAGAAGATTTAAGTATGCATGAGACAAGGGGACCGACCATAACCAAGTAAGATGGAAGTCATGGAGGCCAAAATGGCACAGGCAAAAGCATACTTGTTCCTTTTGGGTTTCTTTTGAGGTTCAAAATCCCCAAGCCTCTTCTCTGCCGTTGCTTCAGCTGCCATCTTAGAGAGAGAGAGAGAGAAGATTGAAGGAGAAGGATGGTGGGAGGGAGTGATGTGGGGAAGAGTGTTAATTGATCTTGAATAAGGTGTCCCTGTGTTTGCTGTTAAGTAGAGGAGATGGATGCAAATTGGCCCTCGTGGTGGGGCCCATCCCACATAATGACAAATTAGTGCCGGAGACCCGGCGGATTATTAAGAAGCAAAGTCATTTCCTAATTTCCCCCTATGTTATGGTCAGTGGCGCAGAATATCTTATCCCTTTCCCGATCCTTATTTTTTGGGAAAAAAAAATTCATTTTCATACGAAATTTGTAAGTTAACCTTCATGAAACAATTATAAGTTATGACAAAACCGTTAGCAAATTCACTCTTTTACTGAGTACACACACACACATACCAGGAAACAAACAAAGGTTATCTCCCCAAGATGTTGGGAGGGTATCTCGTATTTATTTGCTTTACTTTTTTTGTCAAAACATATTTATTACTTAGGATAAATCATTCATATGTGGCTAACGGATAAGATACCTGACACCTCCTTTCATTATATGAGAAAAATTTAAGATGTCCTGCATTATTAAGTAATTAAAACCTATATGTTCGCATTTAAAATTTAATCATCACATTAAATATATACGCTCACGTTATCACATAGTAAATTTTTATCATTCGACGCCACAATCAACGCTTTCTTCTTTTTTAGAACAAAAATAAGGGAGCAAAAACTGAGACTATCTCTGTTCTTTAATATAAAAACTGGATAACTAATATACAGATATTAAAAATTAATTAAATTAGTTATTTATAGTAAATATTTATTATTTTTTTAAAATATCCTTATTAATAATGTGCATTAGAGTAAAAATCCTCTCACACGTGTGATTATTATGAAAACTATTTTGGAAAAAGATGAATAAATGTTAAAGATAAAATGAATTAGGATTTTATACTTAAGATCAAATTGAATCTTTAACTAGCTTTTTTATTTAAAATCGGAGATAGTAATTTAAAAGAAAGTGATGAAAAAAAAAATATAGAACTGGGTGAAAACTCACTAACTCACATACAAATTGTCTCTTTTGTACAACTCCTCTGCCTTTTAACATAAGAATCAGTTAGAGATTTAATTTAATTCTAAATATAAAATTTTTATCTATTCTGTCTTCTATATTTATTTATTTTGCCCCTAAGTAATACCTAAAATATAATGATTGCACATGTTAAAGAGTTTTTATGAAAGTAATTTCAATGCACATAATGACATAATTGATATGGATATTTTAGGAAAAAAACATATATGTATTACAAATAATTAACTTGCCTAATTTTTTTTTATAACCTTGCCTAATTTTTTTAATATCTACAGATTAGATACCTAACCATTATATTACACACCAGATGTGTAGTACCTTTTTTTTTGTACGTACATTATGTGTACATTTATTCAAAAGATTTCACAATTTTTTTCAATTTTTTTCATTTATTGTATTGTGATTTTTAGCAGCACTAAAAGTCCTCCCTACTTGCATCAAAAATAAAATTTTTTTTTTATTTTCCTGCAGATGAAAATGACCTGCCGGGGAAAGAAATGAATGACCCAATGTGCGTAGAGAGGTAGCATCTTTGTCTAGTAAGTTCAATATATTCTAACCATATAGTGTGATTTTTTTTTTGGTTGAATACGTACAGTGTCATTTTCAAGAGATTCTTTAAGAAATATTTCGATTTTAAAATTGAGGTACTAATTTTAAAATTAAAAACACAATACTTCTTCAAATTCGGACTAAAATGGGAATAATAAATTTCACGCCAAATTAATGGCAAATGTCATATGATTTTGATTGCGCATTGCATATGTAATTAAAGCTTGGTTTATGAGGTATGTATGAGTATATTATCAATATAAATCTTATCCCTATTCTTTAATATCAAAATAATGAATATCAAAAGGTCAATACTGTTTTTAATTCCTGAAGTTTGGCTTTTTTCGATTTTGATCTATGAAATTTCAAACAAGTAATTTTTATTCCTAAAATTTGATCTAATTATAGTTTATCTAAATATTTTTTGTCTCTGGGATAGTATTTTCTGTTTTTAAAACAATGTTTCAGCAAGTAAAATTATTAGTTTCGAATTTTAAGAATTAAAGATAGAATTAACTCAGCATTAAGTAATAAAATGTTTCTGTGGGGATATGCACACATATGGACAAAGACAAATAAGGCACGGTGGTTTAAATATAGTTGTCACCGAAAGTTTGAAACAAGTGAGGAGGAATGGGGTGGATGCATCTAGTTTCAATTGTCTTAATTTGTGTGGTCCAAAAAGTAAATATTAATATATCTATTTATTTATTTACTTACATCTTCATGGGTCAACATTGACGGGCTGATCAATGTGATCGGACGATTGGGCCCACCTGAGATTCTTCAAAGTTCAGAGTCTTGTAAGTGGACTCCTCCGGCTCCCAAGCTGGTTGGAATTTTCAATTCTCGAGCATGCCCTGCCTCTGTCTCAATCATTGCTCTTATTTTATTCTTTTTATTCTCAATATAAGATTCATTTAATTAATTTGATTAATTAAAAAAGCTAGCTAAATTAGTTAATTAAAAAATATGACATATTTTTTCTCAAATATTATAATCATCTTTCTTGATACCCCTTCTTCCTCTTCTACCTGATTATGGTTGAGGGAGTATTCATAGGGGTAACTTAGAGAAAATTAATAAATATGAAAAATAGATATTATATTTAGAATCAAAACCAACTGAATAATTGAGTCCTAGGACCGGAGGAGTATTTTGAAAGAATTGTTATGAAGTCTTGTAACAAAAAAATTTATTATTATGATGCAACAAAAAGAAATATTATGAGGTCCCAAAGCTGCTAAAAGGTCTTAATAATACTACCTCCGGTCCTAATTATAAGACCCAGTTGACTTATTTGAAAAGATTAAGGAAGTAAGTTAAGTTAGTTATTTGTAATAAATAAGTGTTGTCATTCCTAAAATATTATTGCTAATTAAGTGTATTGGCTAGAACTATCATTATTAGAAGGATTATCTTGGAAAAAAAATACATAAATATGAAAGAAAAATATATTGGGGTCTTATAATTAGGACCAAACAAAAAGTCAAACAGAGTCTTATATTAAGGACCGGAGGTAGTATCATAGTAGCATAAAATGATAATTTTTAGGATAATAAATAATAACAGCTCAATTGTCATTAAGACTTACTAATAATTATTTACTTTTCTAATACCTTATTATAATTATCCCTTTTATTTTGATATATTCTTGTAGTGATTTCATTTTTAAATATTTTTAATAGCATGATTTTCTTACATTTGGCAAAGTCCCATTATTTATGAGCTGATATTATAAACAGAATTAAACCTGTAATATATAATTCAGAGCCAAATGATAGTGATACAGCTTTGTTTCTTTAATCTTTTTTTTTTTTTCAATTAAGTCTGAAAACTTATTTCCTCATCGATTTTGCTCATACATCATAATCATATACAACCTCCCCCTTCCAATTATAGGCTTGACTCGATATTTTATTTAGCTTATATATTTATAGTCAAGTCAACGGACGATATCACAAAGGCAATAATTAAATAATTTTTAGAGTTTTATGAAAATATATAAAAATGCTGGCAAGAAAAAAGATAAAATATATAAAATTAAATATTAATTTCATTAGCCGATAAAACAGAACGTCTTGTATCCTGGACCAAACATTAATTGTGGTCTTTGTTTTGTTTGGCTTTTTCTCGGAATCAAAATATCATTATCTTACTTTTTTTTTATCAAAAACTTTAAATAAGCCACTAAGTCCCCAAGACTTTGAAAAAACGAAAGATGAAAATGAATATAAATTACGCGCAAGAGAAAAATCAAAGGATCCTATGAAAGTTATGTGTGTTGTTGAATTGTCATCACATTTTGAACTACAAAAGCCAGAATAATCCGGAATCGTTAACTTGTTAGCCAAAATTTTTTTTTTCCGTTAATTCAAAGGTTGGATATATAAATTAAAAAGTTTTGGGTGCTAAATATTACCTCCGGTCCTTAATATAAGATCTTGTTTGACTTTTATTTTGATCTTAAATATAAGACTCCAATCTATTTTGTTTCTCATATTTATGTATTTTTTCTCAAGAAAGTCTTTCTAATAATGGCAGTTTTAACCAACACACTTGATTAGCAAGAATATTTTAAGAAAAATAACACATATTCATTACCAAAAAAAATAACTTAACTTATTTTCTTAACCTTCTCAAATTAGTCAATTAGTTTTTATAATTAGGACCAAATGTAAACTAATTATTCGTATTGTGTTATTGGAATTTGAAAAATAAACCATATAAATTATAAGATAAATGGTGTAACTGATTAAAACTTTCACATTCCACACATACAATGCTTTTCATATTGGATTGGATCCCAATCTTAATCATATCTCTACGGTAAAATTAAATTAAATTTTAACCATCATCTGTTTCTTAATTATAAATAGTCTCGAAGGTAATAGTACTATAATCCAAACACCCTATAAAACCATAAACTAGGAACGATCTTGAACCCTATATATAGATATCCTAAGCCTTAACTCCCAAATTAAATCATGCGCACGAAACTAAACCTTAAGACAAAAGTTGCAATTGAGAGTAACTTTTATGGTAATTAGACGTGGTTTAATTAATTTTTAAAATAAATGTATTTAATTCAACTAATTATGATTAAAAATTAGCTTCAATCAAACTGGGAGATTACCGTAATTTGAAGGCAAAGGGAATCTCCATGTGACATTCAAATCCTATACGTAATAGTGACATCCATGGAGATATCATCCAGGTCCAAAGCAACGAAATGAATTGGTAAAATAAATAAATAAAAATTCAGACGATTAAGTTGAACAACCCCGTCACTATTTTCTTGGCCATTTACCAGATATGCTTTGTTGAGTGTGACTGTGAGAGACGTTTATCTTGAACTTATCACAAGTAACCGGGACTACGATATTCATGCGTGTTTCGTTAAAATTAGATACATGCAA